CCGCCCCGTGCCCGCAGGCCTGCGTCAGGGGTTACCTGCTGCGGAAGCGCTTTGGGAGCCTGCGGGCAGAGTACGAGGAGGTGGTGCGGGAGATCGAAGGAGACCTGAGCCAGCTGGAGTGGAGGGGACGGATCCTGCCGCGGCCCCTGTTTGTCCCCGAGGTCCGTGCGTCGGGACGGGCACCGGCTTCCGCAGCCCCGTCGGAGCGGGGAGCACGGGCACGGCGGGTGGGGTGGCCTGGCCGACCGGGCAGACGATATTTGTTCAGCCTAGTCCCAGAAACCTGGAACTCTCCCAAATCAAAACCCGATAATTACACGGCCGAGGCCTGTAGGGCTCTCCCTGGCTCGTGCCCCTGGGACCTCGAGTGAGGGTTTCTTCCTCCGGGGGAAGCTCAGCCTCAACTCAAACGCCCGACCTGCGCAGGCGATGCCTGCGGGTCTTGCCCCCGGGCACCCGCCTCGCCCGGTGGTGCTGCACGGTCGGGCCCGCTCCCGCGGCAGCTGAGCGCTGCTCTCTGGTGTTTTTACCACTTCGGGAAGGAAAGCCCTTTAAAAACTTACCGATGGTTCAAACCAGAGCACGCCATGGCAGGAGCGCTGCTAACGGCAGGTCTCTGGCTGGGACGGAGCCTCTGGCCCGCAGCAGACCCGCCTTTCACATCTTTACGTGTTCTTTTCCTTACGTTTCAATCTCTCGCGGTTGCCCCTTTAGAAGCCAACGCAAGGGGAGCGCTCAGGTCTGCGTGAGGCTGCACCGAGTGACGAGGGCAGCGCGGAAAAACCACAGGAGGAGCTGGATGCCTCTGAACCAGAACAGGAGCGGGGCTGCAGCGGTGTGAAACCTACAGCCCAGCTGCAAAGCGAGAAAGAACGGAGCTCCGCGGGTGAAGGCGATGTAGTGAGCCCCCCAAGTCTCGTCGCCGATGCTGATAAATGCACCGAAAGGGGGTGCAGCGCCCCAGCGGAGAGCGAGGATCGGCAGAACGACAGCAGCGTAGCCTCTGTGTGGGACAGCGCTATCCTGGAGGCAGAGTCCCTTGAAGCCTGCTCGGGTAAGAGACGGGAGCCAGCGCGCAGCGCGGCCCGGGGCCGTGCGCTCTCCGGCGTGCTCTGAGCGACCTGGTGGTGGGAGCCGGGGACGCGGTGGGTCCTCGGAGAACCAAAACCTTGAGACTATCCTGGAGAGGTTAGAACAACTCAGTGCAGGAGAGACAGTAGGTGCAATCTGAATCTTTGTTCTAATAACAGGTTATTCTGTTTCTTTGCAGAAATTCCACTTGAGGACATAAAGGAGCTTCCTCGAACTCGAGCTGGTCTCCAGTCCTACAGAAATCACTTGGTCATGGAGCTGCTGTGGTTGCAACAAGCCATTGTCAGCCGTAAAAACGTAAGGGCCTGACCCTGCCCCTTCCAGACCAGGGGGTCAGACCAGTGCCCGTCTGCAGCCAGCGCGGTGCCGTCCCTGGTGGGACTGGGGTTGAACGGTGACGGTTCAGTTACCCAAGGATTGGACTGGATGATGGCAGTGCCCTTTTTTTTTTTCTTCCACCTTCTCTGGAGATTAAAAAAAAGGAATGGTGAAGGAAACCAGGAGCTGTTTAGATCCGGTTACAAGCTTTGCTCCTGGCCTGCTACAGGGACATTGCTACTTTGGTAACGATCCCGGCTGCACGACGCAGCGGTATGTACCCAGCAGCGTAGCGAGCTGCTATTTGCATTGCTCGAAAGGCGAGACTCGTGCATCTTCTGGCCGAGTGCAATGATTTTGCTGGTTAATCTGCAAGGGTGGGTGCTTTCCTGCTTGTAGCTCTCTGGGATTTAATCGTTAACGCTTGGTTTTCTTTCTCTTGCAGTACTTGATGCTGAAGCAGAGGCTGGGGACCCCTGACTCGTAGCAGGGCGCTTCCGAGCACGTGGGGCACTTGTATCGGTGTGGAGAAGCAGTGGAGCTGCAGCGCCGCAGTCGTGCCGTGACCTCACGGACAGCCGCAGCTTAGGGGAACTCCAGCTCTGTGGGTTGACATTTTCCACTTCAGATGAATGTGGCAAGAAAGCCTTTTCTTTCTTTTAAATGTGAATATTTGGTCAAAGCAGGGATTAAACATCGCTGTGAAGCCAGGGAGGTGGTTGTGTGTCCTGGAGGGCGTCCCAGTGAGGCCTCCTTCCACAAGAACCCGATTTCTGTTGGCTGAGCTGGACGGTCCTAGGGAACAATCGAGGCTGGGAAGACTGTCACTTACAGAAGGCGGTTTCTGAGCAGCTGGCTGCTTCTGGTGGAACTACAATGCCTGAAGGCAGCAGGTGCTTTGAACGTGCAGGAAGAAGCTCTCCTCCGCTGAACCGTGGGTGATCAGTATCGGGATCGAAGTTGTGCGTTTGGGATGGCTCTGCAGGTCACAGCTCCGCAGTGTCTGCGATCTCCGAGCGCTCGTGGTAGGCTTTGGGGAACGCCTAGCTGAAGTACGAAGTTAGGAGGAGAGTTCCCTGACTTTCCTGTGCGGTTGGTGGGGAGCGATGGCAAATCAAACCTGACCTTCAGGAGACGAGGCTTGGTTCCCCGCTGGCACGTCTCTGGCCGTGGTAATATCTCTCCGTGTGGCAGAGTCACCTGGCTGGTGCTTGAGGGAGCAGGTCAGGACTTACGGGGTTTGGTGCTTTGTCCGTACGTCGCTCTACTTCAGGGGCATTCGAGGGCCCTCAGAAAGGGACTTTCCACGTGGTGCTGTCGTTCCCTGCTGCGACCCCGCGTCTTCTGTGCAAACACTCTGCCTTCCTGGCTGACTGAACGGTCGCTCTTGCCACACGGCAGATGTATCTTTCTGTTCCTGATGATGCTGACTTGTTTGTGAATAAAAAGCTTTCCTGAAGCTCATCTCTGAATCTGTCTATTCCTGTCTGCCTTGCCTTCCTCTCCTGGGCAAAGCCAAGTGGGTCTATGCCGGCTTCGACCCACGGCAGCCTGTTCATGGTGTGTCCGCTGGGATGTGGGTGTTTGTCCGATACACCCAGGACAGAAACCCATTGCGTTCTCACGCGGGCAGCAAGCGACGGCAAGGGGGTGACAGCTTCTGGATTGCGCCGCTCTGGATGGGGTGTGAGCAGCTGCCTTAAAGATACTGGCACTTATTTTCCCTCCAAGCTCGTTAATCTGAGCCTGGTGGCCACAGCGGGTGGTGGGGGAGCTCGCAGTACTTGGCATTTGAGGATTAAAGAGCCATGTGGTTCCTGGTTCTCGAACAGAAAGGTGCTCTGCAGGTTGGTTGATGTGGCCTCTGGACGGGCCCACAACTTCCTCCTGCTGGGGTGCATCCATGGAGACAGCCAGTCGCGCCGGAGCGCGCTGGGAAGGGACGGCAGAGCGCGAGAGCGGCTGGTCGGGAAGGTTTGGGCTTGGCGGGAGGCTGGCCGGGGCTCTCCTCCGCGCCCCACGTCGGTCTGTTTGCCCCTGTGCTCAGCGGGACTTGCTTGACCAACGGGGGATGAGCTCCCGCGGCTTAGCTCCGGCACCTCCGGCCAAGAACGTGGTGGTGTATCGCAACGGTGACCCCTTCTTCCCCGGGAGGAAGGTTGTAGTGAACCAGCGGCGGTTCCTGACCTTTGAGGCGTTGCTGAATGAGGTGACCAAGAGCATTCGTGCGCCCTTGGCCGTGAGGAACCTCTACACACCCAGGCACGGCCGCCGTGTTGCTGAGCTGGGGGACCTGCAGGATGGGTGCCAGTACGTGGCTGCGGGCTTTGAAAAGTTCAAAAGGCTTGAGTGAGTAGACAGACCTTTGGTGTCCGGGTTTGGTAAGCCGCTTTGGATCACCTCTGTGGGGAACGTATTGGGGTGTGAACGGAAAAAAGAGGTTAAGAGGGGTACAAACCCACAGGGAAACAGAGACCGATTAGTTTCTTTTACTGCTGGAAACTACTGGACGTATTCCAGATCACCTGGAAAATGCAAATATTCCTGATACGGTCCTTTGACTCTCGGAAGAAAACACGGTGCGGGGGCGCGCGTTCTCTGGCAGGATGCTGTGATCGGTGCTGCTCTGCCTCCCGCGCGCCTCGTGCGGCGCGTGGGAGGTTCTGCTGCCGCTTCCTTGGCAGAGCTGGCAGTCGCTGCCTCCACTGACAAATACTTTTGCTTTGGTTTGATGGGAGGGTTTTTTTGTTTTCTAGTCCTCGAATTAGAGCTGTTTTGGTTCATCCTGAAATACAGAGGGCTAAAGATGTTCACGGCGTCGCTTGACTCTTGAGGGGATGCGTGTGTGCGCGCCAGGGGAACGTGGCTCCCCGGGTGTGTGTCGCGTTTTGTTGAGGAGGCGGTCCAGGCCGCATGAACATCGGTCAGCCCTTGGCGCCTTCATCAGTGATGAACGCAAAGGAATAAAATGTTCTGGGTGTCTTTAGCACGGGGATCTGAAATGGTCTATATTTGGCTGGGAATTTCTTAAATGTAGCAGACTTTTCTGGGAGAGCGTGAGGTGAGGCAGGTGGAGAATCGTTTCAGAAGCGACCCCCGTAAGCGACGCTCCAAGGCAGAGCAGTCGGTCATTTTCTCACTGCTCTTTAGTCAGCCGCGGCCCAGTTGGTGTGTGGCAACGTTGTCTTCTCGTTCTCATAGCTATTTAAATCGCGGAAGGAAGGAGCTCGGTGGGACAAGGAACAGCGACGGTCTGCGGGTGAGTCCCTGAGCTGAGCGGGCGCAGGCGGGAGCGCAGAAGGAGCGGGGCGGTGCGAGAGAGATTAGGGCTGGCACCGATGAAACTGAAGCTGAGGTTTGAGGCTGCGAGGTGCCCAGGGGAGATCAGGCACAAGTGCCACGGGAATCGGTAGGACCCCTGAGACAGCGCAGGGGCTGCTGCTGCGGACCCTCCACCCCCCTGAACGGTGCAGGGGAAGGATCCGTGCTCAGAGGCTCGCTGGCAATTCTGGCATGTGCTCAGCTACGGGAAGAGCCTCTCCAGCCTTGGCGTTGCTGACAACAAACCCACCTAGCAGCAGCAAGCGTGAAGGCAGGGCGGGCAGCTCCTGATGGAGAAAAGGGAACAGCAGCCCTGGGAGGCTCGGTGCCAGGGCTGTCGCTGTTCTCGTGCACTGAACTCGGTCTCTAGTTCCGCCCCGTAGCTCCCTGGAAGTCGAACGTCTTGGCGCGATGGCAGAAGCACACCCACCTGCCCTGCATGATACAGTAAGTGCCTCGGTGTTTTCTCCTCGGAGGGTCTCTGGGAATGTTTTCAGAGGCTGGAGGAGGGAATTTCTCTGTGAGGTCCTGGGAATGCTGCCCCACAGGGACAATTCCCAGCTTCTACCAGAAGTATTTCTTGTAAATATTGTCCAGGCACCAGTGGCTGGCTTTTTTTCCCCCACCTTCCACAGCTGCTGGAATACCGGCTCATCGCATGCTCCGGGTTGTTTCTATTGCAGTGTTTTCCGGAACGGGGATTTGCTAAGCCCTCCTTTCCCACTGCCGCTCCCCAGGAGCACCCCGCCGCAGTGGGACGCGCTCCTGGCCACGCTGACAGAGAAAGCCAACCTGCGCAGTGGAGCCGTTAACAGGTGGGTATCTGGAGAAGGCGCTGCCGGCTCCCCTTCCCTTACGTCCAGAACATAAGCAGCTCTGATTAGCACAGAGGACCGGGAGTTCAGACAGCCGCTTCTAGTCTGCTTTTGCAAGCTCATTTGCTTTTCAGGTTTTCCCATCTTTAAATCAGAGAGAACCCCAATGTCCTGGGTGCTTTGTTAGGAGAGCTGATGTTGCCGGTGGTCTGGTGAAAAAGCAATAAGTGAACAGTAAAGCATAGCATGAAAAGGGGTTTATGTCTAAAGAAGCAGGGCTTTTATCCAGCAAATACAGCCTACCTTCTCCTCATACATCTATTTACTGACACCCAAGGAGAAAGCTGTGATCTGCTGCATCTCACTTGTCACTGGGTGTAATATTTCGGTGTACTTCCTTGGAGTAATACTAAGAATGATCGATCCTCTCTGACTTGTCTCGGTCCTCTTCACCACTTTGCACATGTTTGCTTCCACGCTGGGGGGCTGTTTGCAGTCTTGTGACAGCTCTGAAGCCTTTGCTGTCTCTTCCCCGAGGCTCTGCAGGCTGGATGGAACCCAAGTGTCTGGCGGGGAGGAGCTGGTGAATGGCGATTACTATGTGGCAGTGGGAAACGAGGAGTACAAAAAACTGCCTTACTTTGAGCTGCTGGTGCCCCAGCATTCTGCGAACAAGACGCTGTGGTACGTAGACTGTGGCCGAGTGGTTTAAAGAATCCTCTCCATGATGGTCTTCAGCTAAAGCCATCCTTTTTGTAGCCCTCCTGTTCAGCGCTGTCAGCTTCGAGGCTTGAGTTTTGCTTCGTGTGTTGGAGGTTTAGGAAGACAGAATGTGTTTTCAAAGCTTTGGGTGTAAGGGTTTGCCCCTGAAATCCAGAGTTCAGTGCCAGAGAAAGCAAGCGCTTTGGTTGTTTCTCAGTTCAGTGTTCATCAAGCACCGAGGAGCACCTGCCAGTTTCACAGGCCTGTGGTGGGCAGCGTGATCGAACAGGAACGCGTGCCGCTGGGGAGCGTGCTCTGCCTGCGCCGAGGAAAAAACACCTCCAGGGACCCCCTCTCATGGGAAAAGGCGAGATCGTGTCCTGCTACAGCCGACTTCTGCCTGACGCTGAGAATCTGCTTCTTTGTTACAGGAACCACCCGAACAGGAGGCGCAAAAAACACGGCAGAAGGGTAGGTGGCTCAGCTGGCGCGGGACTGTTCGTGCTACCCTCACCCTTGCTTTTGTGCAGGCATCCCTCCATAAGCAGTGGATGTGTACAGCAGTCTCCGTTCCCAATTGCCATGGCTATGGCATCCTTGCTTGGCACCACTCCCAAGGGAGAGGAGCTAGAGACAGCGACGTGGCCACATCACGCTTGAATTAAATCTCGCTGCCTGAAGAAAACCTCCTTCGGGTGGCCTCACTTAGCTCTTCTCCTTTTTGGCTGATGGGCAGGGAGAATTCATCCTGGAGCTAGGGTGTCTTTCCTGCTACCTGTGTGGGTAAGATGCCCAACAGAGACTACAGATAGAGCAGCTGGGCTGTCCTAGATTGTCCGCTGAAATGTGCATCTCTGCTACCTCTGCTCTCTGCTTTTTAAATTTCCTTTTCCTTTTTTTTTGGTTTGTTTTCAGTTCGGTGAACTCTGTGCCACCCCCCAGGACAGAGCTGGTGACTCTGCTCTTGCTGAATCATCTCAACAGGTAGTAGTGACCGCAAAAAGTGGTTTATGTGTTCCCTGTATCTGTTTTTACTTGTAGCATCAACTTAAAACCCCGGTCAGAGAATGCAGTGTTACAGCTTTGCACCGGTCAGGATCAAGGGTCACAGGGGAAAGTTGCAGTGTTTAGGGGATTGCCCTGCAAAACTTCTCTTGTTTTATAAGCTCTTTTATCAAGAAGGCCTATCAGAATTGTCTGATGAACACTTCCAGCGGGACAGTCGCAGGGTGCAGGCCACAGGAGCTGCGGAGAAAGACAAGATCCCAGCTGCTCTTCCACAGCTGCAAAGGCAAGCCAGGAACTCTCGCCTCCAAGAGGAAGAGTCCATTTTCCACGCTAAACCTGTCCGTGCAGGACAAAACAGAAGGAGCAACAGGAGTGTGCAGCACCGGCCTGATCAAGGTAAAGGATGCTGCTAGAAATGTAGAGGAAGACCGGCTTTACTTTGATGCTAAAGGACAAAATACCTGCAGATGCACTACAGAAAGCAGCGATGCATGCAATCACTTCTCTGTCTCGGCTTCTCTCCTCATCTGGGCACGCACGAGGACCTTTCTGTAGCCTCGGCGAGACCAGGCCGTGGCTATCAGCCGTACCCTTTGAACAGCTTTTTTCTTTTCTTCTCCTCGCAGAAGAAAGCGTCTATAAAACCAGAGATCCTAGGAAGGAGATGCGAGGTGCCCAGGAGGTGAAAGAGGACGAACACGCAAGCGTGGACATACCCATTGATCAGGTCTGAGAAATTATTTTCTGCCCCGCTGGGAGTCTCGCTGCTGCAGGGAAATACTCACGATCCCACTGGAATCTATGGGTGCTGCAGGTTTTGCACAGCAGGGAGGCCAACTCCGAGAGGCAACGACAGCCTGTGAGAACACCAATCAATAGTTTATAGCAATTGCTTGGGGAAGCCCTTCATTTTCTCACTTGTTTTAAGTCCTGTTCGTTAGGTTTACGAAGCGCTGCGCTTCCCCCTGCCGTGCGTAAAGATAAAAGTAACCACCAGGGGGAACTTCAGAAACCAGAGGACAGCGCGTAACTGCAGGGCTTTGCGTTTTTAGAAAGCCGAGAGATTGTCCTCTGGGTGATGGACATTTCCCTTCTGGAATGTGAGAGTCACAGCTTCCCACTGCAGGAAGGATAGCAAAGGCTTTCCTGGATTTTTTTCTTTTTTTGTGTGTGTACTACTTCTAGCCTTACTCCTGTTGCAGAGAGTTGCAGAAGAACTTACACCAAAAGCCAAAAGGAGTGAGGTGTTTATTCCACTTGATGGTTCTATGAAGCGTGGAGGATCCTTCCTGGCTGTGTTCAGATTTCTTACGCTAAAATTCAGTCCCCCCAAATAGAACTTGTTAAGCAGAACTTGCCTATAGCCAGGTGAAACTCCGAAGCTGGCACGGAATAAACATGGAATTCATAAAATGACTGAACACATTTATTAGATAGTAACAAGTTTAAACCCTTTTTTAAAAAGGGAAAAAAAGCAGTTCTTTTTAAAACAAAATTCTGTGTGAAAAATGTCTGCAAGATGCTTATTCTTTGTGGTGTGTTAATGTTTTAAACTTTTCCTGTGGACATTTAGAACCGATGTAATGGGAGGACATGCATTATATCGTAGGTGACTCTCAGCTCTGCCGAGGTAGTCTCTTTGGGTTAGTAAGAACTTCAAAGGACAACAACTCCTTTGAACTTAAATTAGAGAAAGCCCTAGTAAAGAACTAGCTACTGGTTCCTGACTTCTTGGCTCAACGGGGAGCCTGATGTCCGGCGTTTCTCCTCGGGGTGGGCACTCCGACGGCGCCGCTTTCCGTTGGCCTTTCCCCCCCCCCAGATCACTCTGCTAGGCAGTCGTCATGATTTGAGCGTCACAGCTCCCCTCTGCAGTGGGAGGGAAGCATTAGGCATCAAATAAACTACCTGTGAATTTAACGTAGAGACCCAAGTTTGCATACCAAAGCCGTGGTAAGACCGGAAACAGAATCCAGGAATTTAATCCCAGAATCTTTCTGTAATAGCGAAGTGCTACATTAATAATTGTGTTTCTTTCTCACCACAAAAAGGCACGGACTACAGAGAAATCCCAGAAGGCTGTGGCAAGGAAAAGGGGTGCCGGTGACTCCGAGGATGAAAAGCACCGAACGACGTTGCCCTTGGCAGCAAAGAGCTCTGAGAGTTCACAAAGGGACCGCGATGGGAGAGGGTTAGGCACAGCTGCAGATAACAAAAGCACGTGAATCCTAGATCTCCCTAACACCACAGACTGGCCAAGCTTTTTTGATGAATTAACAAACTCTTCTAAATTCAAGCACCCTCATCATCTGGGCTTGAGGAGCAGAGTACCAGCAAACAATGAATCAGACGCACAATTTCATTAAATAATGAAGATCTACCCCCTTTCCTCATCTCTGTGGTGTGAGGATGTGGCAGAGGAGACGGCTGCTTTTCTGAACTGGTTTAATTAAACTGGTTTGTGTCTGAACCTGGGAAGGGAGAACTACCAAATAGAACACAGGCCGTTAGAACAAAATGCCTGCCAGGAAGTTTGTTCTATGTCAGATACTTCTTATAAAGAGATTTCATCGCATCATTGTCCCTCTGATTTGGAATGCTTAGATAATGTTTGCAGCAAACTTGTTCCCCAAAATAGATATGTCTTGTTTCTGTTAACTTCTTTTAGGAGCACCTGCCTGATTTAGGACAAGCCATAGTAATAAACAGCTCTTGTATTAACCCTCTCTGTGCAAGGCTTTCTGTATTTCCCTCTCTAGTGTTCCTGATTAATTACAAGGGTAACGAAGACTTTTTTCTTCTGTGATCTACCTGGTATTTTGGACTGAAAAGAAAAACACCCTTCCTTCCCTAGGGACAAACTGCACCGTTGCTATTTTACAGCCGAGAGGCACTCTACAAGAGTCCAGTGCAGAAAAGCCTTGTGGTAACCTCAGCGTAAGGGGCTGTGCAGCGTGACCTGCTACGTTGCAGCTGAGCGCAGCGGAGGAAGCCACTTTCACGTGCTTGGCCACGACAGGGAGAGTTCCTAAATAGATTCATTCTACAGAAAAAACACTTGGTCCCAGAAGTTCCCGTTGTGTGATTTATTAACCACTTATTATCCCTCCAGTGCTGAACAAGGCAATTCAATCATCATTGCCTTGAAACACCCACAGGCAAAAAATTCCTTAATTCAAGGCATTAAATAGGACGTCCTTGCAACGTGCCTTGGTCCACCCTGGTGCTCAGTCCACGTTTTCATGTTTTTTGACATCCGTGTGTCAAAATACAGCTTCCTAGGTCTGCTGCTGAGCCAGAAGTCCCCCTTCAGCCACAGGGGTTACCCTGGAACAGCTCCTCGTCCTCTGCTTCTCACCGCGTCTCGTTCACGAACCAGCTACACAGAGCGTGACTCCGAGGACAGTGAGCAGCATTCCCGCCACAGACTCTATAGAAATGAACAATAATGCGTTGGGAACTTAGAGAATTCAACAGGAGTCCGTCAGACCTTCTCATGGCTAAACACGCGATGCTCAGATGTCACGGTAAACAGGATAGCGTAAACGTCTGGATAGACAGGACCTGGAGCAGGGCAGTTCTCAAGGGGTCTGGATGTTGGGACTGCCCATGTACATTGGGCAAAGCATGTTTCTAAGAAAACGGTGCTGATGCTGTACGGCTGGCTGGCGAGAACCAGCCTTAAATAACCAAAAACCACTTTAGCGTATTCCTACAGGTATTGCGCCGGGTCCTGGTGTTTTTAAGCTTTCACGTTTCCTGCCATTTTCTGACTTTCTGAGCAGGGAAATGTTATTGTAGGACGTAAGGGAAGGAAAGAAAGATGGGTGTTGGCATTTGGGGGCTTATGGGGCATTCCTTTTCCATGGTGGGCATATTATTTAGTATTTCTCTTATGGTTAAATATCTAGTTAGGTAAAGGCTCAGGCCTGTAAACTGTTAGCTTAGATAGCCAGTTCTATCTTCAAATTTACTAGCCCTGCCCACTTACAAGTCCGTTTCACTTCCTTTTCAGCTTCTGTAGCAAGAGCTACTACTTATCTTAACTAGTGCGGGTATTTGCTGCTTTTCAGGAGACCAGAGGGTGGCCCACGCTATTAGGTCAGCAAATAGATGCAGGAGATAACGTGAGGCAATGTTTTAAGTGTAACTTACTTTTACCACCAATGTCCTCTCCCAGAATCCTCCCAGTCACCAGCGTGACTATCAAAGCCAGGGAGTTACAGAGCGGTACGGCCAGGGACAGATCTGAAATGGAACAGTTTTAACACCAATGGTTTAAAATGGATAATCTTGTACAAATCATAAGACGCCAGTTTTATTGGTGATTAATACAAGACAGCTGCTTGATGTTTAGCTGAGTCACCGGAGTAATCAGTAGCACGGATCCTCCCAAAATCCCAATCAACCCACTCCACAAAAGTGGAGTGACTATGAGGACTAACCTGCAGATGCCAAGGTGAGGTAGAAGAGGAGAGATCCACCTTGATTGAGCAGAAACGGCACCACGTACTGCAGGAAGAGCACAAGCCTGTCAGCTGCTGCTTGCAAACCCACCGTGCACCCCCCCCAGCGAGCGGGCAGCGAAGGAGCCCAGACCCGCTCGCCCTGTGCTGTGTTTGGCTGCGGAAACGTGGCACGCTGGCGATTCCGCTGCCACTCACAAGCTGCTCAGCCTCTCAGTTCCCCAATCTGCAGAAGGCAGACCGTGCTTATTTCATACAAAAGACGAGGGTTAACGACCTGCTGCCTAATAAAGCGGTCTTAATTCTGCACGGGAAGAGCCGTGCTACAGGCAATTGAATATACTGAGGATAAAGAATTCTGATGATGGATGGAATATTGAACAGTTTAAGTATCGAGTCCAGAAGTACACAGGTAGGAATGATCCCAAAGGCAGTTTGACGCCCAGCTACCTCCCCGGCCCGGGAGCCCGGATGGGGTCGCACCTTGTAGTTGAGGCCCAGGAATCGGATCTCGGCCAGCAGCTGCTGCAGGCGGCCCTGGCACCGCACCTCCTCCAGCCCCGCCGCGCCCGCCCGCAGGAACGGCCCCGTGCTGCCCGCCCGTCCGCAGGAACGGCCCGGTGCTGCCCCACAGCACGGCCACCAGCACCAGCGCCGCTGCCTCTCCTGCGGCACAGCCTCGGCTCAGCGGCCTGATGGCCCCAGGGGAACGGCGGCCCGGTTTGCCATCGCTGCTGCCCTCAGAGGGTCCACACCGGGTCAGCCCATCCTCATCTCCCCGCAGAGGGCCTGGCCTGGCCCGCTGCCGTCCCCCATCAGGGACAGCCTTCACCAGCCCGGCTCGCTGCTGTCTCCCATCATGAAGGACCCCACTCTGGGCCTGCTGTTGCATCCCCCCCAGGGAAAAACCCTGCAGGAAGCCCAGCCTGCGGCCACATCCCCCTCAGGGAAGGCCCCTCACAGGGCCCAGCCTGCGGCCACGCTCCCGGGAGGAAAGCACCAGAGCCAGCCGAGCCCGTGGCCACGTTCCCCCTCACAGGGAAAGCCCCGCTGCAGGCCCAGCCTGTGGCCATGTCCTCCCTTCGGGGGAGGCCTCGCAGCAGGCCACATCCCCCCTCAGAGAAGGCCCCGCAGGGGGCCAGGCCACGGCCCTGCTCCCCCCGCAGGGAAAGACCCCCCCGGGGCCCAGCCTGCCGCCACATCCCCTGAGGGAAGACCCCTCAAAGGCCCAGCCGGTGGCTATTTCCCTTCCCAAGGGGAAAGCCCCGGTTCCCCGCTCAGGACCGACCCTTCCCCATGCCGGGAGCGGCCTCCCCTCAGTCCCGGAAGCTCACCCACGGGCGCCATAGCAACGGTGACGTATTTCCGTCCTGCTCATCCTCTAACCCGGAAGCGATCGCATCGTTCTCTCGCCTCGGCGCCGCCGCCATGGTGAGAGCGGGACCGGGCTGCGGGTAGCGACCGGTTGGCGGGCGGTGCAGAGACCCCAGGCCGGGGCTCCTGGGCCGCGGGGAGGGTGGGGAGCGCCCCTCGCAGAAGCCGATCCTGCTGCAGGGCCATGAGCGCTCCATCACGCAGATCAAGTACAACCGGGAGGGAGACCTGCTTTTCACCGTGGCCAAGGATCCCGTGAGTGCGGCGTTCCCCCCACCTCCACCTCCCGGGTGAAAACCGGCCCCCACCGCGATAACCGAGCGGCTGTTCATCAGTCCCATTAATTAATCTGGTTGTTTTCTTCTCCCAGATTGTCAACGTTTGGTATTCGGTGAATGGAGAGAGGCTCGGCACCTACAACGGGCACACAGGAGCTGTCTGGTGCGTGGATGCAGACTGTATCCTTCGATGGCAGAAACCAGTTTGTCTGTCCCATATATTTTCTTTATAGTGATTCATTTGAGCTGATTGCTCCCAACTGCTGCACTGTTTCCTCTTGAAGAGGAGCATGAGGGCGATACAGTGCGTTTAACTCTTCTGCTGTCTTTCCCTGGCTCCATCTTTTGGGTATTTTCCTTCCCAGGCTGTTGTTTGGAATAACGTGTGCAGCGTGCCCCGTCTGCTTTCGTTGGTGCGTCGTTGCTTTTGCTCTGGTGGCCCTGGGAGCTCAGGGGAGGTGTCCGAGTTACACAAAGGCTTCCCTCTCCAATGTGGGCAGCACGTAGCAGAGACAAAAACGTGCAAAGGTTGCGTTAATGCAAGAGCTGGAACCTTTTTCTTTACTATTTCAAGAGGAAAGTTGCGGGGTTTGTAATGGGAGCACTTGGACTCTGTGTCTGTCTGTACTGGAGTATTGCTGGTCCTGGAATGGAACTTGTCCAGTCTCTGTGTGATACGGCTTTTTGATCTTGTGTATAAATATTCCCTGGGAATTTAGATAGTAGCTTGTTGGGGGTGAGAACGCGCTGATATTCCCTAACTGGTGACCTAGGGGACACACGACATGTGCTCACCGGCTCTGCGGATAACAGCTGTCGGCTCTGGGACTGTGAAACAGGTAAGACTCCTCTCTTCCCGCGCAGCCACCTTTGAGTCACGGCTCTGTCCTGCCATGAAGCCTGCTACGCTTGGAGGACGTGGTGGCAGTGTAACATGTGCTTCTGAAAGAAGTCTGAATCCTAACTCAGACTGCTGCAGGGAAGGGTTTGCGTACGTGCCTAGCTTCTACTGAATATTCAGTCCGTTTACTCGCTTTACTGCCCAAGTAGTCAAAACGCGCGGTTAGCGCTCACAGGTCACTGAACCTGTTTGTCGGCTCCGCCCGACGCTCTCATCCTCGCTCTGACCCTGCCGTTCAGCGGCTCATTTTCATTAACCTGGCAGCGAAGGACCCGGTGAAGTGGCTGACGGTTTCTGCTCTGTGTTCAGGAAAGCAGCTCGCTCTGGTGAAGACCAGCTCAGCAGTGAGGACGTGTGGCTTCGACTTCGGAGGAAACATCATCATGTTTTCCACGGACAAGCAGATGGGATATCAGTGTTTTGTGAGCTTCTTTGACCTCCGGGACCCCAGCCAGATCGGTAAGGAATCCAGGCCAGTGCCTGCACCAGGGAATAAGGGGAAGCGTTGATCGCTGGAGCCGGTGCCACTGTGTCTGTCTGTCTGTCTCCTTCCTTCCTGCAGAGAACAACGAGCCTTACATGAAAATCCCCTGCAGTGATTCTAAAATCACTAGTGCTGTGTGGGGCCCTCTGGGAGAGTTCATCATCGCAGGACACGAGAGCGGAGAGCTGAACCAGTTCAGTGCCAAGGTCAGTCTGATAAGGAACAGCATCTCCCTGAGGCAGCGGTGCCTGGGAGAGGATATCGCAGCGTTCCTGTTGTGGTCACGGGACAGAATATGGCCTTTTTGGCTCAAACCAGCAGCCCCGTGGAGGGATGGCTGAAGTACGCAGCTCCCTTGAGCCCGGGGGATGGACCAGCCTCTGCCCCGCTGCTGACAGCGATGTCTCCTAAATTATTTTTAATGGAGAAATGGCGTGTATGCTCGCTTCGCTTGCCGGCACGCTGAAACCGCCTTCTTTACCCTTCAGTCAGGGGAGCAGCTTTCAAACATCAAGGAGCACACCAAGCAAATCAACGATATTCAGACCTCCAGGGACATGACCATGTTCATCACTGCCTCCAAGGACAACACAGCCAAGGTGAGGCCTCCCGGCGGAAACGCAGCGGGCTGTTGGTATTTGCTTGCAGGACCTCTGCTCGGAGCCATGGCTGTCGCAGAGGTTTGCGGCTGCGGAATTTGCATGAGTGTAAAGTCAAAGCTTAGTGGGAAAGGGGAGGCACCACCATGTTAAATTAAGAGCCAGGCATTGGAAACAACATTGCCAAAATTAAGGCTGCAGTTTGCTACCTCTGGAAGGTGACAGAGGCGAGAGTTACCTTAGGCCAGTATTTTGGGATTCTGGGGAAATGTTTTTGGGATTTGGGTGCCCGTGAGTGGCTGTAGAGCCAACATCTGCCCAGGTGAGGCCTAGCAGCCAGATGTGTGTGACTGAATTGGGCTGCCAGCCCTCTCGCAGAATAACTCTCTCCCTTTTCCTCCTAGCTATTTGACTGCACAACACTCGAGCATTTGAAGACGTTCCGGACGGAGCGACCGGTGAACTCTGCTGCGCTCTCCCCCATTTTTGATCACGTAAGAATGCGCTCGCTCATTTTAACGGTCTGACTATGACTCCTGCGTTGTCCCAGGCAGCTGGAAGGCAGAGTGTCACCAGTCCAGCTAAAAAATGTGACTGCAGGATGGGTCTGGTGGAGGGAACAAGGCTTTGTGTGCTCTCATCTTCAAACGAGTGCGTCTGGGAGGCGGGAATTTCTCTGGGGCTGGAGTCAGGCGGGCTCATGAGTTTGTGGGATCTGCTGGGTTCGTAGGAGGCTTCGCCAAGGCTTGGCTCCCTCCTCTCCTGGCCGCCGCTGAGCGTGTGATGTAAGCGGCGCTGAGGCATTGTGGCTTCTCTCCTTTGCAGGTCGTGCTTGGTGGTGGGCAAGAGGCCATGGATGTGACCACGACCTCCACCAGGATTGGCAAATTTGAGGCGAGGTTGGTCCTCTTCCTCTGGCAGGGTCGAGTCCTCACCTGGAGGACCCCTGCCAGCCCCCGGGTGCTTGTCCCAGAGCATCTTGCTCCTGGCAGTGTTGGAGGAGTCATCAAACGTGCAGAGCTTTTTTGAGGAAAGCCTGATTGTGTCCCTAACCAGGCTCCCGGCTTCTTGTGAGCATTTAAATCTTTTTCCTTCTCCCAGGTTCTTCCACTTGGCTTTTGAGGAAGAGTTTGGCAGAGTGAAGGGTCACTTTGGTCCGATAAATAGTGTTGCTTTTCACCCCGACGGGAAGAGGTGAGGATCTCTGTGGGTCTTGCAGCACGCCCCGGTTAAGCCTAGCCCACCTGCTGCTTCGGGTACGGCTGGGCTCGCAGGAGCTCTGCAGTGGGAATGGAGCCAGCACCTTCCTTAATTCTCCTGTTCCAGCCCTGCTGCCTCCCCGCAGGCCGTCCGGGGGCTTCACTTAGGCCCTCTTGCACATTTTGGCCACGTCTCTGATATTGTTTCTGTCCTGCAACTCCTTTGTTAGTTTTTAGAGGGGGTTGTGAGAACAGACTCCAATACGGGTATAAACCTAAATGCTGCGAGCTCCTGACAACGTCGGTGACTTCATCTTGTTTTTCCTCCCGCACAGTTACAGCAGCGGGGGTGAGGACGGCTACGTTCGCATCCATTACTTCGATCCCCAGTACTTTGAGTTTGAATTTGAAGCTTAAAGGAGGAATCCCTCTCCTCTTCCAATCCGTCGGCTCCTGCACAGAACTGGTGTAAGGCCTGAAGTTAGTCCGCTCCGCAGGAGGCAGCGGGAAGCAGTTAGCAGCGATCTCGGGGGCTGTGTGAAGGTGGGCAACTGGAAACGCGGGACTGGCTTTCACAGGAGGCAGCGAAGGCAAGGAGGGGAGCGGGGCTGGCTGCCTGCCTGCCCCTGGGGTTGCTAGCTTCCTGCCCTGCTGGGCATATTTATACATCAGGGGAGAAAAAAAGTCATCAGGAAATAAATAGAAATCTTTTATAAACACAAGGAAAAGCACCTCTGTGGTCTTTTGGTTTTTTTTTTTTTTGCTCTGGAACAAAATTAACCCGCGCGCTTTGCTTTCCCGGCTCTGTTGGCAGTGCCTTGCTCCCCACCCATGGGCAGAGAGCAGCGCTGTTACCCTGGGGCCTACGTCCTGCCCACGTTAAC